TGTTTTTGACGCCTCGGACTGGCACCCTGAGAAGCACGACACACATGCCCAGTGGAAAGAGAGCGTCGCTGGTCCTGTTCTGGATAGGGCATCAGAAGCACTTAGAGTTTTCTGTAACCTTTGAGTGATGCTCAGTTGTTCTGTCTCAGGGATGACCATGAAACCTCAGAGACAGGCAGAAGGCTCCCAGCCTCTGATGGGCGCTCCAGGTTGGTGGATGCTAGATCCAGCAGGTGGAAGTAGGGAGCAAGAATGAGTCCTCCCACTGGCACTGAACATTTGATGTTTGTTCTTCTCAAGCTACTGTGCATATTTCAAAGGGCTTTGTGTGTGTGTGTGTGTGACCTTAACAGTGCCTGAAAGTCACAAACCCACTTTCTGACCCTCCCCCTGACTTCCTGCCTGGAGTTATTCACATGTCAGATATGCCTGTATTAGGTTCTAGGTTATTTGGAGCTTTAGTGCAAAGAGCTTGAAAACCTCCACCTGCTCTGGCCTTCTCTTTTACAGATGGTGTCAGTGAGGTTCAGAGAGTGTGTGGAACTTCTCTGAGTCTAAGTGGATTGGACACAGTACTGCCTGCTTCTGAATCCAGCAAGGACAGAGAATAGCAGGTACCTGGAAGGAATATGAGGCTGGATGTCTCAATAGGAATGAAAAGACTCTCTTCTCTGCCCAGGTACAGGCTCCCAAGTCAGCAGAACCTGGTCCAAATGGGGACATGGAACTGATGGATACTTGGTCTAGAATTATGTTGCCCCATTTAGGCCCCTTATCATGATGTGAATCCCTTATTTCTTTGAGTGAATAACTCCCCCTTGACACTATACATGACTAAAATTTTTTAATGCCAGTGCGCTCCAGGTGTCAGAAGACAAACGTCCAGGCATCAGTCGGAATCAGAGAAATTTACATTTATAAGAGTTTGATCAGATCAGCAAGTTCCAAAGTTAGGTAGAATGAACATTGGTCTAGGAGAGAGGGAATCAGGTCTTGGTGGCCCTGATTTGCTGAGTGAAATTGGTAAAAGCATTTCTTCCTAAATTTCTCCTTGTACAATTGATATAAAACAAAAAGGGAAAGTACATCTACCCACAGACTTTTCCTTTTGTTTAATTTTATTTATTTATTTATTTTTGGCTGCGATGAGTCTTCACTGCTGTGCATAGGCTTTTCTCCAGTTGCAGTGAAAGGGGGTTACTCTCTAGTTGCAGTGTGCAGGCGTCTCTGCGGTGGCTTTGCTTCCTGCAGAGCATGGGCTTCAGAGCACACAGGCTCGGTAGCTGCAGCTTGTGGGCCTATTTGCCCCACTGTATGTGGGTTCCCAGATCCCGGCCCACGGATCAAACCCATGTCCCTTGCATTGGCAGGTGGACCCAACTGAATCACCAAGTGAGTCCCCTCTACAGACATTTTATTGTCCCTGACCCCTTGCTTCATCATCTTTTGAGCTATTTAAAACCCTAAAAGATGATTCTTGAGAGTTCCTTGGACAGCAAGGAGATCAAGCAAGTCAATCCTAAACTCAATGCTGAAGCTGAAGCTCCAATACTTTGGCCACCTGATGCGAAGAACTGACTCATTAGAAAAGACCCTGATGCTGGGAAAGACTGAAGGCAGGAGAAGAAGGGGGCAACAGAGGATGAGATGGTTGGATGGCATCACTGACTCGATGGACATGAGTTTGAGCAAACTCTGGGAAATGGTTAAGGATGAGGAAGCCTGATTTGCTGCAGTCCATGGGGTCACAAAGAGTCGGTCGTGACTGAGTGACTGAACGACCCAACAACACTAACAACCTCCCCTTCCTTGGATTGTTTTGTTAATCTGGTGCCAAAATCACCAAGGGAGACTGTGCAGGGGCAAAACTATTGCAGCCTTGAAAGTTGCTATGAAAGTAGAGCTTTAATGTTCTCACCATAACAACAACAACAATAAAATAGCCATTACCTGAGGAGAAGGATTTATTAACTATTCTTATTGTGGTAAATATTTTGCAGTGTATACATATATCAAATCACCAGGTTATACACCTTACACTTATACAATGTTATATGTCAATTTTATCTCAATTAAATGGAGGAAAGAGACAAATCAAAGGGGTAAATATTTCTGTCTTCACCATACAGAATCTTCACATTCTGAAACATGTTAATTATTTATGCAAGACTTTTTTATTTGCTACGTGAGTACTTGTTTACATTTCTTTTTTAAAGTTTTTCCTTCTGTCATTAAGTTAATTTGTTGAGTGGTTTAATTGTGTTGATATTAGTATTGGAAATTTTTCCCATTTTCTGATTATTGCTAGTTTATAATAAAAATAGGATTCATGTGAGTTCCCTGGGGGTCCAGTTAGGACTTGGTCCTTTCACTGCCATGGGCTGGGCCTGGGTTCAGTCCTTGGTTGTGGAACTGAGATCCCATAAGCTATGTGGTGCAGCCAAATCTTAAAAACAAAATAGGATTTAGTTGCACCCCTATGTTCATATAGCCCTACTCAAATAGCCAATACCTGGAAACAACCGAAATGTCCATCAATAGATGAACAAAAAAAAAAACACACCAAAAACAAATGGATGGATAAAGAAGGTGTGATATACACAAAATGGAGTGCTATTCAGCCATAAAAAAGAATGAAATAATGCCATTTGTAGCAACTTGGGTGAACCTCGAGATTATCACACTAAATGAAATAAGTCAGAAGGAGAAAGACAAATACTATATGATGTCACTTACACGTGGAATCTAACATATGACAAAAAGGACCTTATCTATGAAACAGAAACAGACTCACAGACATAGAGAACAGACTTACGGTTACAAGGGGGTGGGTTGGGGAGGGATGGATTGGGAATCTGGGATTAGTAGGTGCAAACTATAATACATAGAATGAATAAACAACAGGGCCCTCCTGTATAGCACAGGGCACTATATGCAATATCCTGTGATAAACCATAATGGAAAAGCGAATGAAAGAATGTGCATGGATATGTATAACTGAATGTCTTTGCTGTACAAAAGACATGAACACAACATCGTAAATCAGTTATACTTCAATAAAAATTTTTGAAAAAATTGGACTTATCATCACTTACTAGCTCTGTGTCTTTGGGTGATTAATGATGCTTTCATGGCTTCAATCTTTTTGTTGTTGTTGTTGTTGTTGGCTGTGCTGTGTGGTTTGCAGGATCTCAGTTCCCTGATCAGGGATCAAAGCCATAACCTCTGCACTGGAAGTGCAGAGTCTGACCCATTGGATTGTCAGGGAAGTCCCATGGTTTCAATCTTTTAACAACATTAAAGAGGTGTATATGACCCATCTGAGGGAGTTCTAATGAGAAATAAGACAATACTTACGACATGTTTAGTACAGGATCTGGAAGAGACAAAACACTAAAACAGAAACCGTTCTCACCACCAGTGGTGTATTATGTTTCTCAGGCCAGAAGTTTAGGCCCTGCTCTTGTCTGTGCTCCAAGATGCGTGTTCCAGTCCATCCCCTGGAGAATCAGAGGGGAACCCTGGCTCCTGGGGGGTGGTGTCTAAGGGACACTGGGCTTTCTGATCTCTCACCCCCAACAAAGCCTCTGCGCCCCACCTCCCCTCTAGCAGAGCCCAACACACACACACAAAGAAGACATGTTTCAGCCCAGAATATCAGGGCTGAACTGACATTCATTACTAGACTTCCAGAATATTTTCACCCAACTCCCCTCAAACTGAATAGACAAAACTGAGGCTCAGAAAGAGAAAGAGATTTATCTGCAGTCATCTAGCAAGTTGGGAGGAGCCTAGAGCTAGAACTCAGGTCTCCTGACTCCCAAGTGGGGTGCCCACTGAACCCCAGTGCCCCTCCCACTTCTTCCTGGAGAACTCCATTGCACAAGGGCAGTGGGGCAGATGAGCCAACAGCAGAGCCATGATGTCATCCAAGGTTACCCAACATACGCCTTCCTGCTGTCTTCACTTCTCCAGTCTACTCTACCCCAACTTGTATGTCCCCAGAGAATGTTATTCAGCAATGACATGGAAGGATCGATGTGTCTTGCCTCCTCATTCACATCTTGAAATAGAAAGCTGGGAGAGGATATTGCTTCACCCAAAGGAATTATGTGTTATTGGAGGTCATCTCAGGTGTGAACAGGTGAAATGCTTCGAGAGCAGGGATTTCCTGGCATCTGTCTTTCTGTCTTCTTGGAGGATACAGATTCATGGGAAACGTTAGAGAAAGGGAAGGAGGGAGCCAGAGGTTGATCCAGGAGGGCTGGCTGGTCACACTGGCAGGGTTGATCACAGCCAGGTCAGAAGTGGAGGTTAATGGGAAGGTTTGGGGGTTTATTTCCCTGGTCTGAGGCCAGAGGCCAAATGTCTTGGTTTCCATCTCCTGGTGAAATGGAGGCTGCAGTTCTTGGGTTGATTTTTGGATTTCTACAGTGAATCCTAGGAATAGGCCTCTTATTCCTGCCCCTGCTCTCCTTCACACCCCAAGAACATCTGCCATGGGTCCCGCTCCACTCTCCACCGGGGACAGGAGGTCTCAAACCCACACCCAGAGCTCTCAGGAGCCCAGAAGTCACAGGAGCCAGAAACAAATGGAATTGAAAGCAGTCTTTTATTGGAAAGTTCATGAGGGAGGCAGTCCATGCTCAAGCTTGGGCCTCCTGGATGAGAGGAAGAAGGGGCAGTGTGGGAGAGGGTCGTGCAACAGGCACCGGGGGCTACATCCCTTGGGACATCACAGGTGCAGCAAGAAGACTCTACCTGGTAGAAGAAAGAGAGTCGGAAATGTGAGTCAGCAGGTGAAAGACTCAGAGGCAGTGGGAGGCCCAAGTCTACATGTCATCCTTCTCAGGACCCCAATTATAGCCTCTGAGACCCCTCAGTCTCTCCATCACCTCCCCATGTCCTTTCCCCCACTAGCCTAGGATCACCCTCCACCAGTCAGCAGTCAGCCTCTCTGTGCCCTCACGGGTTACCCTTTCCTCCACCCAGTTCTCACCTCACCGGGGATTCATACAGGCCTTCCCACAAAAGCCTTCACAGCACTTCTTGGCTCCTGGGCACTGAGCATCTCTCAGACACTTGTTAGGGGGATTCCACAAGACGCATTTGTACGGAAACCAGGGGCAGGATCCTAGCTTGATGAAAAATCTGGCTCGGTCTTGTCCTACGACTAGATCTTGGCCTTTGACTGGGTCTTGACCTTTCACTGGATCTTGTCCTTTGACAGGAGATTGACCATTGATTGGACCCTTTCCGTTGGCTACAAGATTTCCTTTCTTAATGCCTTGACCTTTTGGAAGACCTGTTGAAAGAAATATCCCTACTATTACTAATATTTAGAACAGCGTGTCTGCTTCAAATATCTAGTCTTTCCTCCAGGTCCAGCCACTGCTCACTGCGGTGTCCCTTAAGCTAAGGGACACTGAGTCAGAGGAGGCTCACCAGGGCTCGCTGGGGTCTGCACTCTCAGATGGCTGGTCCCTGGGCTTTGGGGAAAAGGTCCATAGGACCAGGTTTCCTATGGGTGTCCATTTCTTCCCCTCACCCTCCATTCTGAGTCCTGGGCCTCATGAGGATATGCCAGGAAGGAGTGACTTTCAGGAAATGAGGACACATTGTCATCTTTGAGGGCACTTGGTGGAAGGGCAAGGAGCTATGAGACACATGCCAGGAGACCTGAGCTCCAGCCTGGCTCTGGAGATTGCCCTGACAACTCCTTACCTCACTCTGGATCTCAGTGTCCTGCTTTGGAAAACAAAAGTCTTCAGACTCCACGATTTCCGAGGCCCTGTTAGTTCTTAACCTCCTCTTACAGAACTAATGATCAAGTGCTTTGATGGAACAAACAGGCAAGGAAGAGACCCCCACAACCAGGGCCCAGGTTCCTGGGGCTCCTCACTTCATTGCATGTTCTGTCCAAGTATCAGTGCTTGAGACGAAGGTCTTGTTACAACACTCCTTCCACAAACAGCCCTGATTTCTCAGTCCTGGGGCAGTATGTACACGGAGTCTAGTGGGAAATTTCCTGGATACAATCAAAACCTGCTGTCAAGGCTGAAGAGTGGGCTCCAGCTCTGCATGTTGCCCCTTGTCAAGACCCAGGCTGCCCCCAACATCCTCTCCTCAACCCAAGCCAGCCCCACCCAGGCCACTCGTCCACTCACCTGTTACGACAGCCGCCTCTGCCACCAGCATCCCAAGGACGAGAAGGACCACCACCTGGACCAAGAAGCTTCTGGTCTTCATGTTGTCAGGAAGGTGTATGACTGAGAGCTGAAGCTAAGCCTAGTTTTATGCAGCTTCAGCTTGGCCATGTGCCAAGGGTGGATCTGTGGTTTCACAAAGGATAAGAGTTACTTTTTCTTAGTTCTACCAGGAAATATCCACCCCCATCCTGGGAGGGACTTTGGGCCCTTCCCCAGGGATTATCCACAGGGAGATATGGTGTCTGCTACTTCATTTCTAATAGTCCCAAGGGCTGTCTCACATTCTCAGAAAGAGGTAGGGCTGTCTGGTCTGTAGGCATCATCATGACCAATTTCTTTATACTTAAAGAGTATGAAGCCCAAAGGAGAGAGAGGAATCACCCACAGTCATTCAACAAGTCAGTGGTAGGTCCAGTGTACTGTTTCCATAGCCAAGGTGTTCCCCCATTACTCCCCAGCTCCTACAAGCCCCACCCAGACCTAACAGTTTACCCTTCCCAGCCCTGAGTTAGGCTTTTCTTTCATTCTCCCCGTGATCCCAAGGAAAAGTCTCAAAGGCAAATTTTCCTTGAGTGTTTAATGACTAATCATAATACTTTGCTCTTTCACAGGCAATCCCTGAAGTGGACCAAGAAAGTAATAAGGAAGGTGGCATTCGACATTTGGAGTGGCATGATGCTCTTGAAATCTCAGTAAGAAGACAGAAAACACCCATAAAATAAAAGGAAGAAAGTAGAAATCATCTATAAGGTGGATATCTACAATGTATACATCCAACATGGCTTCTGCCTTTTTAGAACAGGCCCCCTGTTTCTTCCGAAGAACTCCTGGTTCTTTGTACCATCAACTTAGGAATCTAATGGGAATTTTTGATCATGAAAGCCTGACACCCAGTCACAGATCAGGGTGTGTGTGTGTGTGGTTTATTGACATCCTTTATTTAAATGGACACTAGGGGGAAGTCCCTCATTTTGGTAAAGGTCGGAGAGATGAACCTGGAAACTCCTGAAGTACAGTTCCAGTCTGGGAGAAGGAGAAATTTTGAGAAAAGTAAATCTAATTCAATTAGAAAAGCAGAGGAATGATGGTAAGAGAGGCTTCAGAACGGACCAGTCAGTCCTTCATTCCCCGTTATCTTGAGATCAGTTCTTCCGCACCTTTCCCACAGTTCGGTTATGACCCAATAAACTGCCTAAGCTAGTCTGAGTTGGTATTTTGTCACTGTTGTCAAAGTTCAGAGTAAAAAAAATGAATACCCAGAAGTTAGGTATTGTCAGGGACAGAACCTGAAGTGTGGAAATAACAGTTGAATTCTGGGTGAGACAAGAATGAAAGCAAACTAAGTATTTTACAGTCAAACGGTTGTTAATATCTCCATCCTTTGTTTCTTTGGACTAGGCCTCCTCATGCCTACCATGGCTGCTGAAACATTAAGGAACTATAGCAAATACAAGATGTTGGAGTTGGCAGGCTACTTAAAAGAAAAAAAAAAAAGCTCATCACAAAATAAATTATATAAACAAAAAAGTGTATAGAACTGACACTCTTTAAAGAATTAAAACATTAAAATGGTAGGCTGCACTCACCAAGAACAAAAAGAGACTATTTCTTGTATATATGCCATATCAACATTTATTTCTCACCAGTTTCTTCCCTGTCCATCTTCCACAGAGGTAAGCACTTTCTTGGATTTTCTAATTTTCTGTTAACTCCAGCATCTTGCTCATTTCTTGCTGGGTTGTCTACCTTTTATTCATTGTTTTGTAGAGAGAAGAAACCATCACACGTTACTAGTAAGAGTGTATATTCATGCAACCTGTTTGAAAATAAATTTGGCATAGCTAGTAAAATTAAACATGAGCAAAATCTTTTAGATTTCTGCCAATCTGATGAGTGAGAAGTGATGCACTGCTTAAGGTTTTAGTTAGCATTTCTCTCAGTTCAGTTCAGTTCATTTCAGTCACTCAGTAGTGTCTGACTCTTGGCAACCCCATGGCCTGCAGCACACCAGGCTTCCCTATCCTTCACCAACTCCCGGAGCTTGCTCAAACTCATGTCCATTGAGTCAGTGATGCCATCCAACCATCTCATCCTCCATCATCCCCTTCTCCTCCTGCCTTCAATCTTTTCCAGCATTAGAGTCTTTTCCAAGGAATCAGTTCTTTGTATCAGGTGGCCAACGTATTGGAGATTCAGCTTTAGCATCAGTCTTTACAATGAATATTCAGGACTGATTTCCTTTTGGACTAACTGGTTTGATCTTGCAGTCCAAGAGTCTTCTCCAACACCACAGTTCAAAAGCTTCAGTTCTTCAGTGCTCAGCTTTCTTTATAGTCCAGCTCTCACATCCACACATGACTACTGGAGAAACCATAGCTTTGACTAGACAGACTTTTGTCAGCAAAGTAATGTCTCTGCTTTTTAGTATGCTATCTAGGTTGGTCATAGTGTTTCTTCCAAGGAGCAAGTTCTTTTAATTTCATGGCTGCAGTCACCATCTGCAGCGATTTTAGAGCTCAAGAAAGTAAAGAAGTACATCAAGGCTGTATATTGTCACCCTGCTTATTTAACTTATATGCAGAGTACATCATGTGAAATGCTGGGCTGGATGAAGCACAAGCTGGAATCAAGATTGTTAGGAGAAATATCAACAACCTCAGATACGCAGATGACACCTCTCTTATGGCAGAAAGTGAAGAGGAACTAAAGAGCCTCTTGATGAAAATGAAAGATGGGAGTGAAAAAGCTGGCTTAAAACTCAAGATTCAAAAAACTAAGATTATGGCATCTGGTCCCATCACTTCATGGCAAATAGACGGGAAAACAATGGAAACAGTGAGAGATTTTAGCATTTCTCTATCATGAATTATTTCAAGCATTTTTCATATCTTAAAAGCTATTTATATTTCTTTATCTGAAAACATTATTTCTTTTGCTCATTTTCCTATATATTCAATAGCTTTTTTCTTGTCAATTTCTAGCACTCCTTACATATTATAGAGAAAGGTCTTTATCTGTGATATGGTTTGTAAGTAAAAATTTTAACTCATTCTTAGACCTGCTCAAAATAGTTCAGGGTGGCACTCTTTTCTCCTCTTCTCTAGATAATGCCTACTGTTGTTCGATTATTTCTGCTCTGGACTTGTGCATTTCTGCTTCATAATATCCTTAAATTGGTGAAATTATTTCATTAATTTTTTCAATTCATGTGCCAAAAAAATCTAAATGCTACAAAAAGAATCATAGAAAAAATAACTTTCTAAACTGAAACTGCCACAAGAAAGAGTACAAAACCATTTCAAAGATGGAAAAAATAGTCAACAATATTTGACAAAAAAAAAAACCCCACCAGGATCAGACCTCTTTGTAAACATATTCTATAAGGCAAACAAGGAACAACTAATTCTAATATGACATAAATAGAAAATAAGAAACAATTCCCAGCATGTCATATGAAGTAAACATAATCTTGATACCAGAGCTTAATAAGGACTTATGTCAATTATATGCCAATAAAGCTGGTTAAAAATAAAATTATCAACAAGGATTCTATGAAAAAGGAAGATTTTAAGTAAATCTTATTCATAGAACATAGATTCATGAACAGAAAAAATCAAGTATGTTCATAAAATTTCAAACAAATCTACAGATAATTGTTAGAATCAATGAGAATTTATCACAACAGATGCATACAAAGGAAATATATAAAACTCAATGGTACTACATAAATCAACAATACAAATCAGCAAATGAAATTTCAATAATTTTTATAATCATATAAAATATGAAGAGCTTATAAATACACATAATAGATTTTGTGCAGAATTATTACAAAGAAAAATATAAAACTTTAGTGAGAGACATTTTTTAACACCCCCAAATCAGAAATGTATACCATGTTCATGGATTGCAAGACTCAATATAAGTACGTCAATTCTCTTCAAATTGATTTTCAGTCTCAATGCAATCAAACCCCCAGAAAAGTTTTTATAAAAGTAAGCCAAGGGAAACTTGGCAATGCAATTCTATAATGCATACAAAAAATGCAAAAGGCAAGATAGCCAAAATACTCTTGAAGAAGAATAATTTACTAAGACTTGATGTAGGAGATATCAAGTTTTATTTTAAAGCTGTAAAAAAAAAATCTGTAATAATTATGATAAAGTGGTATTACAACCATAGATATGCAAATGAAAAAAAAATAGAAAATCACCAGACAGATGACTTGCACATAATGAGAGTATGTTCCTAACTTGGCTATAGTAAACAAATATCACTACTGTCATATTAAGAAGGCTGCACATCATAATATTAATATACTTTCCCTAAGTGGTTGAAGGAGGATACAGGTTAAGAAGGCAGGATAGAAGAAAGGAGAAGAAAATAAATAAATAAGTGTTGCTTTATCAAAAAACTCATCATGTCTGATGGGATCCTGTTACATTTATAAATACATTACCAAAAAATGAATATCACTAGATCTCTGTTTACTGACTTCCAGTGATGTCCATGCAATCTTACCAACAGAACAAAGGTTGGAGAGTACTATATGGGTTTTGATAGAATTTCAGTTGAACATAGGACTCCTGTATATGAAAATACTTATGTGTGTAAAAGGAAAAGTGTTTGAAGCAATAGCCACTGCTGTGAATACTGGTTACATGATGATGATGGGAGAGGAAGGAGGACAAGCACGAGTAGCTCTGCCTTTATCCATCTTACTTTCTAATTTTTTTCCTGTTTCAACGGTCAACAAAAGTTCAGTTAACAATTAAGAAGAAAGGGGATTTTATTTGAACCAGACTGAGGATTATAACCCGGAAGAGAGACTCTCAGAAAGTTCTGAGAAACTGTTCCGCCAGGTGCAAGTTGAAGGCACAGTCACATACATTTTCGAGATAAAGGATCATACATCAAAATGACATCCTGATACTTTACACAAAGTTCACCAAGGACACATAGTGCAGGTAAGCCGGCATAAAGAGAGCGAGAAGTCTGTGATCCCCCGCAGAGTTGGGAAAGAATGCTATCCTTTGAAGA